GCTGTCATACCTGGGGGATGCTGCCGTGCCCCCCCTCCCTGGGGCTCCTCACACCGCGCACAGCCCGACCTTCGGCAGAGGAGGAGGAGGAAGAGGAGGAGGAGAACCACGTGTGCCGCCGCCCTCCCACCTGGCAAGCACGGGCAGGTCGCTGGCGCGCCGGCCGGCGGGCAGGAGCCGGGAGATGAGTGGGAGCCGGGCCCTGCCCCGCCTGGCAGCCGGGCAAACGCCTCCCCTGCCAAAGCCGCAGCTGGTTTCGCCGCCACGGCCCGCTCCCCGCGGGGAACAGCATCTCTGGCAGGCAGGAGACGCTGCCCCTTCGGATGAAATCCCTTTCCCCAAGCTGGAGGAAGGCGCACGGGGAGGAAAAATGTGTTGGCAGCACGGCATCAGCGAAGTGCAGCACGCTGTACAAAGAAATCCCTTTTTCTACCCAAAAATTTCAAGCTCTCCCGCTATCGCAGCGGCTCCCGGGGGCTGGGGCCGCTGAGTCAGCGCGGGCTCTGCTGAGTCACCGGGGCCACCTCAGCCATGAGCTCAGCGCGGGGGTTTGGCATCTCCACTGCCGGGCCCCCAGGAGTCTCTTGCCAACAGCTCTGCCAACATTTTGGGGTCTCGGCAGCTCCTTCTCAGCCATCCCCAGAACCGCAGCGATCGGCGTCGCCGCAAACGCGACACCACAGAAACACGACCAGCAAAGGGTGAGGACGCCGGGGCAGCCGGTGACGTTCCAACCCTTCCCACCCTCCGACCACGCCGTGGTCCTCGCCAAAAACACCTCACCGCAGACCACCCACGGTGGGATGGCAGCCACCCTCACCCTCCCCATCCTGCTCGCCAAAAGAGGAAACGGGAACGGTGAAAGGACAGGAAAACGAAATCTGGTTTTGCCTTTTTTTTCTTTTCCCCCCCTCGCTGGGGTCAGCAGCACCAAGGGGGGGAAACGCCAAATGGTGAAAGAATGGCAAAATGAAATCTGGTTTTGCCTCTTTTCCCCCACCTTGCTGGGGTCAGCAGCAGCACGGGGGAACGCCGGAGCCGGGGCTGATGACTCACGGGGAAGGAAGGAGGGGGAAGCGGCGCGTGCACGGGGCCGTGGTGTTTGTAAACCTAAAAAAAGCCATGTGCGGGCAGGCAGCGTGCTCGGCCCGCCAGCCTCGGGGAGGCGGGGAGATCCAGGGGCAGGCGTGATCCCAGTGGGATCCCAGTGGGATCCAGGAGGGAGCAGGGAGATCCACAGGGCAGGTGTGATCCCAGTGTGATCCCAGTGGGATCCCAGTATGATCCCAGTGAGATCCAGGGGGGAGCAGGGAGATCCAAGGGCAGGTGGCATGATCGCAGTATGATCCCAGTGGGATCCCAGTGGGATCCAGGAGGGAGCAGGGAGATCCACAGGGCAGGTGTGATTCCAGTGTGATCCCAGTGCAGTCCCAGTGGGATCCCAGTGTGATCCAGAGGGCAGGCGTGCTCCCAGGGTGATCCCAACGTGATCCCGAGGGCAATCCAGAGGGCAGATAGGATGCTCCCAGTGCTCCCAGTGCTCCCCAGCTGGCACAGGCTGCTCCCAGCGTGCTCCCACACCAACCATCCCAACCAGGGAGGCTCATGGAGACGCCTGGCACAGCTGGGAGAAGCCGGCACTGCCACCAGGACTGGTGCAGCCAGGGGGTTAATTAAGTGCCGGGCCTTCAATTGCAACGGCATTAATTGGTGCGGGTTTAGGCGCCTGAGCTTTAACTGCAGTGGCTTCAAAATGGCCTTAAGTGCAGAGGCTTTAATTGCAACACCAGTGGGTTCCTCTGGAGCCCCTCACTCATCCTGCCCCACCTCTGGAGCCCCTCGCTCATCCTGCCCCACATTCCCTGCCCCATCCCAGCTCCTGGGATGTTTCTCCATCCTTTCCAGCCAGCCTGAGAAGCAGAGCAGACAGTGCCACCAGCCCTGAGGTGACAAACCCTCCGGCCACCCCATGGCCTTCACGCTGACAACTGCAGCATTTACAACTTGCTCCAAAATCAATTTCTTTTTTTTTTAACAGCATTTTCAGAGCTCAGGGTGGTTCAGATTTTTTTTTTCCCCTCGTTTGGCTGCGATGGGAACTGCAGGCTCAGGAGCTCGTGGTCCCCAGCTCCCCCCTTCGACAGCAAAATCTCATTTAATCAAAAGATGCGGCGACTGGATGTGCAGAAGCACTTGGCTCTCGCTCTCTTTTTCTCCCCTTAAGAACTGCCATTTTAGCTGTAGCAAACAAACACGCTGCATTGTCCCCAGCTCCCTCCGACAGCCCTGCCAATCCCAGCCCAGGAAAAGGGGATTTTGGCCCGGGGACAGAGGAGCAGAGGGCTGAGCCGGGCGTGCAGGGCTGGCAGAGGTGTGGCAGGCAGATGTGGAGCGGGGACGGGGCCCATCGCAGCTGTTTCACCTCCAGCCTCCTCCCGTTTCATTGCATCTCCCCTTGGACGCCGGCCCGGGCAGCGGGGGATAAATAAAAAAAGCTCTTTCATCCCCAGAAACGGTCTGGCACCCTTCTACACAGAGCTCACAGCAGCGAGATGAAAGCGCCGGCACGGGAGGGAGCAGGGGGTGTCCCCAGGGGGGTCTGGGGGCATCTCCCTCGTCACAGTGGGGACAGCGAGGGGACAGGGACGCTGGGTTTGGTGCTGGCCCCTTGAGGGGACACCCTGAGCACACACGGAGAGAGGGACACGGCAGGGACAGGGAATGGGGACCCCAGTGCCACAGGGACAGCTGGCACGTGCTGGGACCGAGGACCCCAATGTCACAGGAATAAGGGAGCCAGCACAGCAGGAAGGGACCCCAGGGGAATGGGGATGGGGACAAGGGACCCTGAACAGGCAGGAAGGGACCCCAGGGGAATGGGGATGGGGACAAGGGACCCTGCACAGGCAGGAAGGGACCCCAGGGGAATGGGGATGAGGACAAGGGAGCCCTGTCCATGCAGGGAAGGGATTGGGGACCCCAATGGCATAGGAATAGGGACAAGGGACCCCAATGGCGTGGGGATGGGGACAAGGGAGCCCTGTCCATGCAGGGAAGGGATTGGGGACCCCAATGGCATGGGGATGGGGACAAGGGACCCTGCACAGGCAGGGAAGGGATCAGGAATGCCTGCAGGAACAGGGAGCCAAGCGTGCACAGGAGGGGGACAAGGGACACCGCTGCCATAGGGATGGGGACACTGGCACACACAAACAGGGAACCAGGGATGCAGCAGGAATAGGGACTGGGAGACTCCCACAGGGAGCCCCAGGGCTGTGGGGACAGGGACACACACTGCCACGGGGACAGGGCACCCTGGCACACACGGGCAGGGGACGGAGCACGCCGACATCACACGGATGGGGACCGGGGATCCGGGAATGGGAACACTGGAACGTGCAGGAAGGAGTCTGAACATCCCAAAGGCACGGAGAGAGGGAGCAGGCACCCCAGCACACACAGAGAGGGCACCAGGGACCCCAGGAGGACAAGAACTGGGGACTGCAGCACATGCAGGAAGGGGATTGGGGTCTTTGATGCCATAGGGACAAGGACTGGGGACTGCAGTACATGCAGGAAGGGGATTGGGGACCCCGGTGCCATGGGGACAAGGACTGGGGACTGCAGCACATGCAGAACCACGACCAAGGACCCTGGCGCCACGGGGACAAGGACTGGGGACCCCAGTGCCATGGGGACAGCTCACCCCCAGTGTGCCAGCACCAGGGACACCCCAGCAAGGCCTTTTTGGGACACAGACCCGCAGCACAACCACACGTCCCAGAGCCATCGTGCCACCACTTTGCCATCCCCATTCCCAGCTGGGCCAGCAAAGCCCCTCAAAGGAAAGGCCAGACCGCTGGGGGCCCACCAGAGCCACCTTGCCCCCTTAATTACCTTCCAGAAAGAGTCCATGTCGGGCAATCCGAAAAACAAACCTCGTCCCGGCTAACGAGGAGCCAAAGGCCAAGAGCGGGGCTCCTTTATGGGGCCACCACAACAACCTGGAGGACTCTGCCCAGCCCTTCCCAGCATGATGCAACCTCGGGGCTCACCGCATCCCACCGCCCCGGCACCTGCCGGCGGCTCTGGGAAGGATTTCTGATTTTTGGGGGTTTTTTTTGGTTTTTTTTTGCACGGCATCCGGAGGCAGCTCCGGCGTTGGCGGGCGCACGCGCCGGCCGCGAGATGCCAAGCAGCATCCCTGTCCCCTGCCGAAAGCACGTGCTGCCAAAAAAGCCGCTCACCGCCGGCTCCCAACTCCGGTTTTTGGCAACGCTGACCTCGGCGACGTCCCCTGGAGCCACCAGCACCCGCTGGGGATGTGGGATAACCGAAGTGCCGGGATAACCAAAATCACCGCCTGGGCGGGTGGGTGAGACCCCCCTGAGCAGGAGCAGCTGGTTTTGCTGCCCACCACCGTGACGGGAAGCGGGGGGTGCCCGCGCCGGACCCCGGGACTTCGTCACGGCGAGGGATGACAGCTGCCACCGGCGCGGGTGACGTCACGGTGACGTCACGGCGGGGAGCCTCATCGCCCTTGTTCGCATCACCCCCCCCACCCCCCGCCGCACCTCTGAGCTCAGCACATTTCGGGGCACGGCCGGGAGGGGTTAATGGAAATAATGGTTAATAAAGGAGAAAAAGCACACGGGGGAATTAACGATATGGGGGGGCGAGAATGGGGGGGGGTGCAGGTTTATCGCCCTCCCGCCCCTATCCGCCACCCCCACCTTCCCCCCCCCCACCACGAAGCGATGCTGGAGGGAAATTAAAGGGATAAAAGAAGGAAAACAGCCCCAAATCGGGGGCGGGGGCGCGGGGCCCTCCCCAGGCCCCGCCGCTTTGTCCTCTCGGCCCCGCGGGGCCGCCAGCACCGCGGGGGGGGGTCTTTAACCTCCCCCGCACCGCCCCGCAAGCCCAAGGAGAGATTGGGGTTTTTTGGGGGGATTTTGGGGGTGAAAGGGGAGTGTTCTGGAGCGGGGAAGGGGTGCGCTTACCTCGCCGCTGCCCCCGCGCTGCCCCGCAGCCCCCGCCGGCCCCGCACGGCTCCGGCCCTCAGGAGGAAGCCATCTTGTCTCCCTCTCCTCCGCGCTCCCTCACCGCCGCCCCGCTGCAGCCGGGGGGGGGAATGAGCGCCGCATCCCTGCTCCCCCCCTCTCCTCCTCCTCCTCCTCTTCTTCTCCCCTCCTTCCTCCTCCTCCTCCTTCCTCCTCCTTCTTCTTCCTCCTCCTCCTCCTTTTCCCCCCCACGCGCATGAGAGGACATGAAGGGGACACAGAGGGGGACATGAGAGGGGACACGATGGGGACATGGAGGGGACATGAGAGGGGACACGGGGGTGGACATGAGGGGGAACATGAAGGGGACAGGGGGATGGACATGAGGGGGGACATGAGAGGGACATGAGGGGGACATGAGAGGGGACACAGAGGGGACATGAAGGGGACACGGGAGGACACGAAGGGGACACGGCGGGGGACACAAAGGGGATGTGGGGACACGAGGGAGGTGCAGGTGGCACACAAGGGGGACACGGACAGGGACACAGCCACGCGACCCCCAACCCCAAAATGGGGTCACGGGACCCCCAAACCCCGCTCTTTGTGTCACTGTCCCCCAGGGAACTGCGGCAGGGGTGGGAGCAGCCAAAAACCCCAAACGCAGCCGGGGGAGCCCCAAAAAGCTCTTTACACCCAACCCCAATATCCTCCTGCCATTAAACCCCCGAGAACATCATTAATTGTTAATTTGGGTGCGTTAATTGGGGAACATTGGTCATTTGGCTTGGATAAACCTGAGTCCAGGCTTGGATAAACCCGAGACCAGGTTTGGATAAACCTGAGTCTAGGCTTGGATAAACCTCAGTCCAGGCTTGGATAAATCTCAGTCCAGGCTTAGATAAACCCAAGTCAAGAGCTGGATTAACCCAAATCCAGGTTTGGATTAACCCGAGACCAGGTCTGGATAAACCTGAGTCTAGGCTTGGATAAACCTCAGTCCAGGCTTGGATTAACCCAAATTCAGGTTTGGATAAACACAAATCCAGACCTGGATAAACCCAAGACCAGGTCTGGATAAACCTGAGTCCAGGTTTGCATAAATCCAAATCCAAATCCAGGTTTGGATAAACCCAAGTCAAGGGTTGGATTAACCCAAGTCCAGGTTTGAGTCCAGGCTTGGATTAACCCAAGTCCAGAGCTGGATAAACTTGAGTCTAGGCTTGGATAAATCTCAGTCCAGGCTTGGATTAAACCGAGGCAACGCTTGGATTTACCCAAGTCCAGGGCTGGTTCCTGCTGGGAATGGGGATTTCTGTGGGGTTTATTTAGGATTTATCACCCAAACTCATTTAGGGGATCTCATTTGGGCGATGAACGGGAATTCCCAACACCCGGAATGCTCTTGAGCTGCCCCTCATCCCATCCCCGGTGGTTTTGGGGCCGTGGTGTGCCCGTCCCTGCTGGGAATGGGGATTTCTGCGGGGTTTATTTAGGATTTGCTCCCCGGAGCTGAAGGGGTCGGCCCGGAGCATCCTCCCCTCGGCCCGCGCCAACGAGCGGCTTCCCAAGAGGTGATTAGTTATGCAAATGAGCGGGAAAGCCACCCCGGGAAGGCAGGAGAGGGTCTGAGAGCTCAGCCTCGCCCTGTGCCACCCTCCTCCTCCTCTTCCTCCCTCGGGATGGGGAACAGCTGGAAATGAGCCCCGGGGGGACAGAGGAGCCGCGGCGGGGCTGGCCGAGCCGGAGGAACTGGTGAAACTGGTGGGACTGGTGCTGGGAGAGACTCCGGGCCGTGGGAACCGCGGCACGCCCGGCCCGGGCCACCGGCACCAAGGGAACATCCCAAAAATCCTCTTTTCCCCCCAAAATCTGCCTGGGGAAGCGCCGCGGCCGAACAAACGCTGGGGTTTCGGGTTTTTGCAGCAAGGGCAAAGTCCTCGCCCTGCCCCGCCGAGCCAGCCGTGCCAAGGTCCGTGCCAAGATCCGTGCCAACCCGTGCCAGCCTCCCACGAGGGAAAAACCCCGGGATTCACCTCAAAAGCGCCAAAAAAAGCGCAAAGCAGCACCGGATTTGGGGTTTTTAGAGGGGGAAAAGCAGCGAGATCAACGCCAGGCAGATGTTTGTCCCTCCCGGGCGGGGACCCCCAGCTGGAGCAGCTCTCCCCCTTTTTTGTTTTTTGCGTGGGCACAAAATGTGAAATCGCGGTTCCAGCCCGGGCACGGCTCTGCCTCCCCCTCCCTTGGCACCCCCTCGTTTTTGGGGAGCACCCGGGCAGCGTTTTGGGAGAAATCCCCGGGAATTCGGCTCAAAGTTGGGTTTTGTTCCGCCCGTCCCGCGGCGCTGCTTTGGGGATGCCCCGGGGACGAGCTGAAATTTTTTTATTTTTTTGGGGGTGTGTTTAAGGCACCCAAGTGGCCTTTAAGGCAGCAGAAAGTCCCATTTCCCACGGAAATACCCTTAAAAAACCCCCGCAAACCCAACCACCGAGGGGGGGCTGTCCCTGCCCGCCCCCCCAGCCCCCTCCGAGCGGCGCGGCCGTGACAAAGGGGTCACAAATCCCCCCAAAAAGCGGGCACGACAGGGGGCTCGGGGGAGCCGGGGGTCGCTCACCTCCCTGCCGAGCCTCTCCGTCTCCATCCCGGGGGGGGCAGCGTCACATTTGGGGGCTCCCCCCGGCCGGGGGGGCGGCTGGCCCGGGCTGCCCGAGCCCCCAGCCCGGCGACAGCGACATGGCGGGGTCACCGCGACCCCCGGCGCGGGGGCACCGCCGCTTCTGGGGGACAGAGCCGCGGGTCACCCCCAGTTTTAATCCCCACCTCGGGGGGGGCGGCCCCGCTGTCTCCCCACCCCTCCCGCCCCACACCCCCCCCAAAAACCGGGGTGCTGCCTCGCCGCCTTTAACCCCACCCCTCCTTTCTTCCACCCCCCTTTTCCTTTTTTCTTTTTTTTTTTTTTTTTTGCTTCTTT